AAAAAGAAAATGCCCTTTTTGGCTACATTTCTAAGCTCTAAGAGATACATTTAAGTTATCGTTTTTTCCAAAACTCTAAAGTATTACATTGAAGGGGCCCTATTAGGCTTTTTGGGGTTTTCCCTTTCCTGTAGTGTGTTCTAGGGTTTGTGTGCGTGGTCTGCAAGGTCAAAGTTCCCTCCAGAGGGAGTTTCTCTCACACACACTCCCCCCTGCCTGAAACGCCTCCATTGGTTTCCTTTGTTTACTTCTGTGACAAAGTGACATCACTATGTAGCACTCACACTTCTATTGGCAAGCACCAACACATTGTGCGTGATAGGCATGGTTAGACCAGAACAATCTCAGAGCTGGTAATTTACCGATCATTTTTACAGAACTGCTCTTGGTTGATATTTTGTGCTGAACTCGTCTTAAAACGTTTTCTTTTGAGACACAATTAAGCACATTTTAAGTTAGTGTTGTTAATTAAGGTGGAAAAAGAAATGCGGTTCCACAAGTACCAGGTTAAGTATTTGATGACAGCACAAATCCCTCTACTTTTATTTCTATTGGTAAATAATAAATGTTTACTTATTAATTTAATAAAATAAAGCAAACTAGAAATTAAATACAATTTCAACCAGGAAAGCTTAAATAATGATTTACAGATTTTAAGTGTCTAACCTGAAGTTTCAACTGCAGCACATTGGAATAATTTCAGCCAATAAAATACTGGAATTATCAAAAAATACATCCCATTTCAAAAATTCTTATTTATTTATTGTAATTGTAAATGGAGCATTTGAGCATAAAACCACAAAACATAAATAATAGTTCAAATATAACGAGGGGACATTCTTTTAACCGTACACAGTGCGGCAGCTCTGATCACAGGTACAAATGTTCCAACATGTGGTTCACTGAAGAATCACAATCCTGACATGAAGGCGTATCAGTGTAGGTCCGCTCTGCCCTCTCTGTGCCGCCCGGTGCCAAGGTGCTCAGGATTTAGAACCACTACTGGTGTCCATCTGCACACCGGATTTAAAATGTGGCTTCGCTGTGACCCGTCTGTTGTCCGAGGCCTCTGGAGACGGAGGAGGAGAGGACGGCGTGCCAGGAAACACTGACAGTCCTCCACTAACACGTGCAGTGATAGTGCTCTACTGGTGGAAAAACCAAATCATAATGAAGAGTGTCAAGCGTTCAGTCATGAAGAAGAATATTCAGAGGTTTCTCTGTCTACCATTAGACTGATCACCTGACTCAATCTCTTAGTCATGGAATTATATGAACAATGTAACGATTTTCCTGATCAATACAATTGCCATTTATGATGTCATAACGATAAAAATGTGCCTCAAACCCTTAAAATTGAATTAAAACAGGATCACTGTACCCTAAATCTTAAGAAACTAAATACCCTTACTTGCATCACAGATAATGAGGTCCCCCTATATATACAAAAAAAAGGAGAACAAATTGAATTAAACTTGTTGGGAGTGTTTTGTATTTTATTATGACTTTGGAAAACATTTGATATTGTCCCATATCTAATTATAATCACTGGGATTTAAATGCTTATTTGGACAAGTGAAAAATTCTGGCTAGGCTGCTTTGTTTCCCTTATTTTCATGCTGAATCAAATTTCCGATTAAACATTTTGGTGTAAAAATGTGTTTAGGTTGGCGTTATAGCAGAGAAATGTATGACCTGTAAAAAATGACGATGTACAGGAGAGAATCTGTGTTGTGGACGATCCTGCCTGCTGGTTTAGGGCGGCTTACTGAGCGTCTGTCCCAGCCAAATCCATTTTTATTCACCCTGTGGATTATAGGACTAGTTGGCAAGGCTGCCATAGTAGAACCAAAGCCAAACAAGGCCTGTGCAGGTGGGTGCCCTGCATGTAGCAGGAATGGGCAAAGGGCGGCCCGGGTGCCGCACGCAACCCCCACCTCCTCTTTTTGCGGCCCTCAGATTAATTTATAAACAACGTAATTAATTTTTCTTTTGTTTTACTTGTAGTACTGATACCATCCACTAGACTCTTAGTTACTTCGCTGCGTACATGATCTCGTTCGGCAGCCAAATACCGCGAAATAATCTGTGACGCGTTTGTGCGTATTGTAACACACAAACGCCGGCTGTTGTTATGCCTGCTGTGACGTTAAGTTACCGCTTGTAATTATGCCTTTACAAGCTTAAAAGTTGTATTTATCATCTGAATTTGGCGAAACAAGTTTAATATTCTATAAACCAAGACTTTGTTTGAAATCAGATGAAAACAAACTGTCACGGACCCTGCCGTGTTATCTATGATTACTATACGCTTTTCATTCATAATTTCAGTGGGAGGGAGGGGGAGCGGCGCTGAGGAACAGCAGAGTGTGAGTTGACAGGTGTCTGTGTTGACATTCACCTTATTGTGGAATAAGGGGAATGCAGAGACAGGCCACAAGTGTCTTAGGTTCAAGTTAGACAACTAATGTCTGGGTTAGTGTTCATGACTTCATGTTTATGTCATCTTAATGGTTCATCTTAATGCACACACAATTTCCGTGTTTTCCAATTGTTTAAAATAGTTTTATTCTACTGTTTAATAACCTGTTCAATACAAACATGCCACTTGTAAAAATGAAATAAAATTTCTGTGAACTGATATTTGTTTAGTGAGCTTATTAGAGGATGTTCTCTGAAAGATTGTAAAATGTCAATGAAGATGTCAGACTTAGTATATTTGTTAATAATTACATACAATACATGGAATTTGTCTGTGTGTGTGTGTTCCAAGTGAATCTGCGGCCCCCTGGTGGCCAGTACATAAATGATGTGGCCCCCACCACCATCAAAGTTGCCCATCCCTGATGTTGTTGTTCCACTTTTTACATTTTTATATTGGGAACATCATTTTACAAACAAAACTCATTCACAAAGTAAAATCCCCTCAGGTGA